GGGGGGGGGCGGCAACGTATACCGACCCCCGTACCCCATTCCCCTTTTCCTCTTACAGATTGCCCACCCACTACGCCAACTCCCGTTCCGTGGCGCCCAATTTTAAAATGAATCCACCACCCTCTCCGCTCCCCTCCCCGAGGAAAGACGCGCCCCTCCGGGCCAACGGCCCCCACCCGCCCCAGCCCGCTCGCTCTAGCCTCACTTTCGGCTTTTGAAAAGGTGATCTCGAGTCGGCGCGCCTCCACAACAGGCCACTGGGTCAGACATCCCCCCAGGAGTGCGGGCCCGCCTCGTGGCTCGCCTCGGCAGGCGCGGCTGCGCTGGCTTGATAAGCCGCAGCCGTAAGTGATAGCAGCGGGCCGGGGGTTGCGGGCAGCCCACCGCGCCCCGCCACGCCCCGCCACGCCCACCCACCCGACCTCAGCTCACCCTGCCCCACCCCACCACCCCCCGCACCCCGCTCCAGGGAGCACGCCATGGGCGCGGGGCGCGGTGGTGCGGGGACGACATGCAATGTGATATCTACCGTGACGTGCGATACTCACTGGTTGCCTTGCTGCGCCTGCAGCTGGGCGAGCGCGAGCGACGTCCCCCCGGAGTCGTGGTGGCGACGCTCCTTCTGCACGATGCCCATGAGCTTCATCCATGGGTTGTTCTGCCCGTGGGCGCCCATGCTCCCCGTGGACCACATGGCGATGCGCGCGCGCAGCAGTCAGCGACGCAACCATTCGAAACAGACCCTCGGCCGCCGCGGCCCCCACGGCGCCGCCCCCGGCTACGGCGAGGACGCCGGCGAGGACGCCACCCCCAGCAGCTCCTCCCTGACGACGGCCTCCTCGACCTCGACGACGCCTAGCCGGCGGCTGCCGCCCCCAGGCCTCAGCCATCCCAGCGGGGGGCGGGAGGCCCCGCGCGGGCTTGGGCGGCAGCGGCTGCAGCGGCGGCTGCGGCAGCTGCGGCGACAGCGGCTTCGGCTGCAGCGAGGGCGTCGTCCACGGGGCGCCGTCCACCGGCCGGTACAAGCGTCCCGCCGGCAGGCCAAGCCCGGGAGGAGACCATCACGGCCTGCGGGGAAAAAATATAAAATATATAAAAAATATTTCAAGTCTCTAGCACATCTCCTTCTAGTGGAACAGACACACAGACACACAGACACAAGGTCGTTTGAATAAGCCCGCTGGATAGCTTTTTCTAAGCAGCAGGGCGGGACAAGGATGCTACATAACACCTGCTGAGGAAAATTTTGCCATTTTGCCCGACTGAGAAAAGAGTGAGACAGTGCTAGTGTTTGGTTTAGAGAAAACTCGACTGCGCAGTATCGGGGTCTGCGAGCCAATGCGGCGGCAAGAAGTTCCACTTTTCCATTAAGGGGCAAACAGAGCTCTAGAGAGACGGCGGTGTATCACCGTGGCAAAAAGAGCAAAGCACCCTTCACTTAACCTCCTGCAAACAATCACTTGAACCATCAGAGAGGGAGGGGTGGAGGAGGTGGGGGGGGGGCTAACCACACACGATCATGAATCACGGAGTGATCCTCCGCGAGGGAGTGAGCGGGTGGGACGCTAAATCGGCTCAGCGCGGAGCACTTAGCTGCGGAAGAGGGCTTCCTCACATCAGCAAAACGTTCATGTTTTTCATTGCACTTTATAGATTTTACTTTAAAAGAATTCGAAAACAAAAGAGGTTTCGAACTCAGAATTGTTTGTGCTAAGGAATCATCTCTCTCGTCTTGTAACTTAACACGTTCCCTGCGGCACGACTACCATGTAGTCACGCTCCCATGTTAAATCATAGTGACCAAAAATGAGCCGCAGGGAACGTGCCTTATTGTGGTGGGATCATCCAGAAAGTGTGGCCGCTATTTGCCGTTATAAACTCCCAAGTTCATACAATGCAAGCTGTCATAGCGCCTGCTAGGTAGGCAAAAGCTTGCCTGCCATGCACGTCTATACTGCGGTTGGCCTACCCGGAGTCTGGGAGGCGCTCGCAAGGAGCCCTGTTGATTTGGTCGGATGAACCTCAGAAATACGGACGTACTTTCTAAGCGATCTCGAAAAATCAGCACTATTTGGTTATAAACTATTTTTTATGTGAGCGTCACCAAAACTTCACGGGGCACGGGCAAACGCGGACTATTGTGGTACCGTGTTTCTTATTTGTCATATCTCTCACTATAATAATTGAAGGCGCGGAAAAACAACATAGTTTTCGGATCATCCAGCAGGCGATTTCACTGCGTTACTTATATTGCTACGTGTCATTAAACACCTTGCGTACTGGTTTCATGGGCGAATACCATGTGGCATTCTCTTTAAGATCCAAGCAGACCGGGGTCTAGAAATCCAAGTATCGTTTTTTTTTTTTACCGTTACTCTTCTCAACATGAAGTGGATGCGGTGATGGTAAAGGACGAAACGAGTAAAAATACGAACTGCGTGGCTGTCGCGAGGCCCCCCCGCGCTGCGCTGCGGCGCCCCCGCAGTCGGCCGCCGCCGGCGAGGCTCGTTTGCGAAAATCCTTCCCCGCCGCTCCGCTCCGCGCGCCGCTCGCCCTCCGAGCTAAATTATAATGAGGTTCGCGGGGGACCGGGGCGGGGCCGGGGCGGGCACCAAAGCCGCGCGAGCCTGCGGCCGCCTGCGGCACGGCAAGAAAGGGAAAGAGCGGTCCGAGTGACCCGCATTCATCAAGGTGTGCGGAGGAGAGACGCCCGGCGGATGGTCCCTCCCTCCGCACCGCGCCGGGATAAGTCGCCCCCGCCCCCCCCCCCCTTATTGCATCAACGACGCGCTCCCAAACGGCAGCAGAACATCAGAACAGCACTGTTGTGTTCTGATGAGCAGAACGAGTGGCCCCTTTGTGTCCCGCTCAGCAGCGTGCGCTCGTTCACTATCCCTTTCTCTCTCTCTCTTCACTTGCTGCTCTCCTCTCTCCCGCACCCCATTTCAGCTATTTTCCTTTAAAAAAATTAAGAGTGTTAAATTTGCACTCGTTTGCACTGCACTACTAGGACCCCACTTTAAGGGGTGCACACAAAAACCTTCTGAAACTTTTTAGCAACTGATACCTTAAATAATTTTACTAAATATAAAATATATACAGAAGTAACTTTAAGATGTCAGCTTGCTTTGACTCTCGATAAGGAGAGAGTGCCAAAAGAGCAAAGCCAGGAAACAACATATTGGGTGGACCGAGTAGGCAAACGCGTATGCCGTTTTGTCGTGGCCCTGCCAGAGCCAGACACATGGAAATTCGCACACCAAAAAGTGCGGGACATTCACTGTTTGCACATCCTACAGAAAGATTTCCCTCTGTTGGAATTTTGGACAACATTTTATATATTGCGCTCTGAAAGAGTAGAGGGCATCAACTTGTCACTTGTCCTACCATTTTAAGGGAAGTTTTTTTTTTTTTGTATTGCAAGGCGAAGGGGGAAAGGGGGAAAGGGGAAGAGGGGAGGAGGCAGGTACAGGGGCAGAGAGGAGGGG